GTATATCATGGTTGATGATATTTCATTGTACAATGTGACAATCAAATACCATGGTCATACCATGACATTTCATTGCCATATTCCTGATCATCATTTACCATGGCATTACCATGGTATATCATGGTTGATGACATTTCATGGCATTTCATTGTACCGTGTGACAATCAATTACCATGGTCATACCATGTCATTTCATTGCCAAAATCATAACTCTCATTTATCATGGTTTTATCATTGCATTTCATGGTTGGTGGTATTTCATGGCATTTTATTGTCAAACCTGACCATCAAATACTATGGTCATACCATGGTATTTCATTGCCATAATTATAACTATCATTTATCATGGCATATCATTGCATTTCATGGTTAATTGTATTTCATAGCATTACATTGTCAAACCTGACCATCAAATACCATAGTTATACCATGGTATTTCATTGCCAAAAGAACTCTAGAAGAGTGACAAGTCTAAAATTGGTCAGAGTTGAAATGGATCATGAAATGCAATGAAATATCACGTTTAACCATGAAATGCAATGAAATACAATGATTGATCATGATATGCAATGAAATGCAATGGTCTTTCTTGCAATGCAGTGAAATACAATGAAAGACCATGTTCAAAAAGTATTTTTTACATGAAATTTCTTTATTAATAAATGTTAATTAAATAACCAAATTATTATAATTAGTGATTCTGAGATTTATCAAAATCACAACTTTATATACTTTTGTTCCTTTATTTAATAAATTAATTTCTATTATGAATAATTAACTTTATAACCCTAGAAACAAAATTTTTTTGTTAAACAAATCTGCTCTACTTTTATTTGACTGTTGTCGCTAAAATAGGAGAACAACTTGATGTTATGTAAGTCCAACCTCCAGTCTTTGATTAAACATCTTGACTGTACTTCATTGCATTTGATGGTTTGTGACCATGAAATACTGCAAAATAGCAGTATTTTTAAATGCAAAATTTTAAGTATAGTGACCATGGTATACCATGGTAGATCATGATAATAATATGGCTCCATTGCATATCATGGTTGAATATCTAGACCATGATATCACTGCATTTGATGGTACTTGACCATGAAATACTGTGAAACGGTGGTATTTTTTAGATACAAAATTACATGTTAATTGACCATGGTATACCATGGTATATCATGATCGTTAAATGGCACCATTGCATTTCATGGTCAGGAGCGCTTTTTTAACATGTAGTTTCCCATTGAAAAAATACTGCCGTTTCGCAGTATTTCAAGGTCACAAACCATCAAATGCAATGATATCATGGTCAAGAAACCATCAAATGCAATGATATCATGGTCAAGAACTTGACCATGATACCATTGCATTTGATGGTTTCTGACCATGAAATACTGCGAAACGGCAGTATTTTTTCAATGGAAATTTCCATGTTAAAAACGCGCTGTAAACCATGAAATACAATGGTGCCATTTAACGATCATGATCGGCCATGGTATTACCATGGTATTTCATTGCTTTTCATTGCGATATACCATGGTATACCATGGTCATACCATGGTATACCATGGTATGGCCATGGTCCATTTCAACATGGAAGTCAAGGGGGAGTTCAATAGCCTTGTTTTAGATACACAGGATCTTCTTCTGGAACAACACGATTTTCGACATCAACATTTATATCACCAGAAAACAACAACATTTCGAGCCATTGGGGCCAACTTACTGTGGGTGAAGACACATTATACCCACATGAATGGAGACAGGTGGCTCTAGGTATGTTTCCTCCATTTGGCGTTAGGAAATTGCTAAGTTGAGTTTTGTCTGTTTTCGCCAAAAAAGGCGAAAACAGACGAAAAGACCAAGGTCGCCATATTGGATAGGACTGGGCGCCTTCGATTTTCAATTACTTTTTCACCTTGATTTGGCAATTTCTGAAGCGCCAGGTATAATTTTTCCTGGTCTTTGGAACCATATTTTTTTATATTCTTGAACTCAATTGATGCGCTGAGCTAATTTTACTTCACATCTTTAGGCCAGAGGTGGCCAGTTTCTTTCTTTTTGACATTTCCAGGCAGAATTTAATTTAAGTTTCTGCCAGTTTTCATTCTTATTTTGCTGCTTAGCGCTCATTTGAGTTCAGGGATATTTGCTACCTCAGAGCATAGTATTATTACTGCTCGCTGAGACCAAGGGTAATCTCAGAACAGTTGAGCGCCATATTAAACAGAGATCTTATATTGCTTCATATTTTCTTAGAATCTCATAAGGCTGAATGTAAAGCTTTTTGTAAACCTATTTTAGAACGAGATCTGAATGCATGGCCATATAAGGTAGTTTTCTGAACACAGCATTATTAAAATGTTATTATAGATTAAAACGCAATACTTTATTCACTTGCATAACAATTACATTTTGCGCCTCAGAAACTTGATTATTATTTGAACTGGTATTTTTCTACATTTTTATACTGATGATACTTTTATATAGATTTTGCATCAAGTAACTAGGTGCTTCCATTGCTCCATCAGGAGCTGGAACTCTGTGTCATTTATTTTCCAGGGGCGATTAACTGTTCAACCCATAGCCCCTTGATATATCGCCTTCAAAGGCTGGATTTTTGTACTTTTTACTTTTCAGGCGCACTTATCTCAGCTTTGTATAACAGTGTACATTTGTAATCTTATAGTTCCATAGTTGGTATTTTTGCTACTAGTCAGGTTCATTATTATCTTACAGTCAGTGAAAAGTAATTTTGATAACAAGTATATTTTATTTATTTTTGTACAATACAAGAGAAGATTTACATACAATTAAACACTCATCTTAAGAACCTACTCATTTTGCTGTGTTATAGTTTGTGGTAATTGAGCTGATTAAGATTAAATCCACAGTAAAACTCCAATTAGACTAAAGCCATTTCAGTCATCTTCACATTTTACTGGGTTCCCTGATTCCTTCATAGAGCCATTTGTTCAATTAGTTATTTTAGCTTTTAATTCCATATAAAGGGGGCAGCACTGCATAGTTAGCTTTTGATACTACATTTATTGGTTTCATTTCTCCATACATCCTTTTACTTTACATTTTTAACTAAAGAGGGCAGCACCTTACTGCACGCTTAAAAACAACACAGCTTCATTCATCCCATCTTCGTAACTTACGCCAACCATTCATTTCACGCTACCATAACGTAATTTGTACAGGGGTAACTTCGTGAATAGTTTTTGTGCATCATTCCCTTGTACGTAACAGTGTCGGGAGACTGTCCCGAGGTCTTACATAAGTTATATGTTATTAGGGAGTGCTATACGGGAGTTGCGAAAACTCTCTTTTACCAAATACTAACAGCGGCATCATTCAGGGAAATAGTGCAAAATCCTATGTACACAAACTTTTCCGAGGCTGTAGGTCAATTTTTGCACTACTACCCAAAAATGAAAAGAAAAGCAATCTCAAAATAATTCTTTCAATTTCAATGGTTAAGTTTAAAAAATGCTGTGATTTTGGCTGATATACTTCTTCTAGCCATTTCAAGGTAGCTGACTCCTGCTATCCCTGCTAGAAGGGAAGATGAAATAAAATTAACTGGTCAACTGATCAGCACTACATTAATCATCATTGCTAAATGGGTGTTAGGACTTCCTAGAAAATGTTCATTTGTTTATAAAATGTAAATATAAATGAGCCATTGAATCTCTAGAAAACATAAAGCATATCATGTGACCAAAGATAAATTAATTAATATAATTATATAATTTCAAATAAAAATGCATATGCATGTTATTAAGTAATTATCATGTTATTAAGTATATAATGTCTCATTTCACAGTTCCTTTCTTATTAATTTGCAACATTTAGACCCATTATTTCTAGAATATATATGTATATATGGCATCTTGGATAACATATATACTGTACATTCACTTAATTTGACGCTACCTAATTGGTGGATTTGCTCAATTTCAAGTATTGATGCTTATTTAATTTGGCAGGGTCAGGACTGAGCATAGATCTGGAAATACACATTTCAGAATTATGTGGAATAATTGCAAATAACAAATTCTCTAGGGATTTTTCAAAATAGATCTGAAAATTAGCGGATTTTTAATTTGGAAGATTTTTTCAATCCGCAAATCTGTCAAATTAAAACGGTAGCCAAATTAAGTGTATCTACAGTAACAATGCACATGTCATGAAGTAGTTGTACAACTCAATATATCCTATAATCCACTGAAAACTTTTAAAATATTTTCTCTTCTCTCAAGGGTTCATCTTGCTCAACCCTGGACAAGATAAACAATATGAAACTCAGTCTACAGATTAATTTAAAGTTACACACAGATTTGTATCAGGTTGTTGTATATTAGAATATAATAATTAATTTTTTGTTTAATATCAGAGTTAGAAAGTAAAATACACCATATTATTTTGGGTCACTCTGTAATATTTTGTACATGTACATGTAGTATTCAAATGAACTAAATCCAAAACAGTCATCTTTATAATTCATTTAATCTACATGAAATGATATAAGAAGCTGATTTAGTGAGAATTACAGGGTGTTCAATAAGTAATGGCTAAAATTCAGGTTTTGTAAAGCATCATAATTAGAAAGTAGAATGTCCCTTTATCACTCGGTGATATTCTGCAGCATTTAAACAGATAAATACAAAATAGTCATCTATAATTTGTTGAGAATAACAAGGTGTTCAATAAGTAATGCCTGTATTAAAATTCAGTTTTTGTAGAAAGCATTTGAAAGTAGAAGTACTATTATTATATCACTCTGTAATGTTCTGTAGTATTCACAATAATATTCATATACATTGCATGTACATGTATATGAAATCATACAAGTATTTTGCAGAATTATTGTAGTTACTAGCTGAAGAAATCAAAAATATATCTGGTAAAGATATTTAGTTTTACCTTGGCCCCAATTATAGAGACAACAGAGTATACTGTAATTTAGGCTCTAGGATGAGATGAATTGTTATTTGCTATAAAATCTGGTTATTAATTCATCAATCTTTTGTATTGGTATCTTCCAATTTTGACCCAACAAACCATAATGCTGTACATAGCTACCCTCCTTGTTGTTCCATAGTTCAGATATGATTAACCATCTGTCCACATGTAGAGCCTCCTCTCCTGTACAGCAGCCAGATCTCAGTGCACGTATTGTGATGTACAGAACTAGAGGCATCACCCAATAATTCTCATCCATGTGTCCTCCTGGTGCTACTCTTGGTTGTACATCAACACCTAGGAAATCTACATCTAGAAGTTTCTTCCTACTGTCATATATCCGCAGGTGTTCATCCTCCTCCTTCATCTTATAGAGTTGAAATACATTGTGAGCTACATCACACAGGCAACCTCCCAATGATCTCTCACTAGATGTACATGTTGCCTGGTGATGTAGCACCAGGGTCTTTAGGGCATGAGAGCTGTAAGTGGAGCTCCATGGGACTAGATGACATTCAAGAATGAGGAGTTTCAATAACATCAGCAGCTTATTGTGATGTTTGTCTAGTTTATGTTTACTGTTATAGACAGATTGAGTCCAGAATGGAAAATTACTAAATGGCAGCACTATATATCTACCATGCTCTGTCTGTTGATTGTCTATACAGAACCCAAGATCAATATCTGTGGTATATTTACCACCACCAACCCTTATTCTTACACATGGGCCGTGTATCAATGCATCTAGTTTAACTGTATTGGGAGATAAGTAAGGGTCATATGTTCCATTCCTGCAACTATCTCTCAACTCATCATTGGAGTAGCTGTATCTGCTTTCTATAATGTATTTGTATAAAGAAGTAGAATCCTCCTGATGAAGAAGTCTCAGTCTGTTCAAACAGTCCCATTCACTACTGGTTGGACCTAGTTGTCTCTTCCCTATGTAGTGAATACCTTCCAGTTGGGATAGACAGGTATGGATTGCACTCTGGAGTAAATATGTTATATTCTCCATAAGATTGTTCTTATCATCTATTACTTTCTCATCTACTCCTAATGATTGTTTTAAGACATTGATATGTGTTTTCAGATTTTCATTAAAAATGTTTACTTTTACATGATTGTCCATATCTACATCTGATATAGCTACATTTGGCAGGGAAATATGTTTAAATAAAAGCAGCAGATCACATTCATCAGGGTGTAATATTTTGCTGCCATTGAAATAACTTCCATTTGGTAGAATATCTCCGACTGCAAACACAGGATAAAGTTTTCCTAGTATATTAAACAGTCTCCTTACACTGGATATCTCCTCCTGATGTTCTTTGATTTCTGAGTCACTGAGCTTTAGTTTACATTTCTCATATCCAGCATTTGCAAAGCCTGTTAGTCTATATAGCTCTGGAAATGTAAGTGTTTTAAATGATTCTGTTAACATGAAAGCCATGCCAGAACATGACTGCAAGTTATTATAGATATTTATAAAACTGATGGCCGGCTGATATATCCGAGTCACAAAATCTGTTCGTCTGTGTATCACTCTGGAGAACGTTTTCTAGATTTGCCTGTTAACAGAAATGCTATACCAAACCATGACTATAAGAGGTTTTTGAAAGTCTAATTTTAACTTTTATATGATAAGTTAAGTGTAATACTATAATTTATTATCAGTTAGTACATATATCTTCTTCACAAGTAATGTTTAATTAAAGAAGGTCAAATGACTATCATGTTCGTCATTTAACAGGTCTACTTTATATTAATGTTTAACTGTTTTTTTGTTAACCAATCAATTTTGAAAAATGCCAGTATTGATAAGTAGGTCAGCAGCTGCGCGAATTTTAGAAAATAAATTTGTCCCCTAAGTTTCTCACTGGATTCATGTAAAGCAAGGTCTTGGGCTTGCTTTGAGCTTGAGTTCTCTGTCCTAGGCCTGGCAACGAATGTGAAAATTAATCCTATAGGTGGCACCCCTTATAATTTACCCTCAAATTTAAAACTTATTATTATTTTCATAAATGAAACATAAAGACATCTCAAATAGCTTAAATTGATCAATGGTACATTAAATTATGCATTAATTTTTTTTCAATGTGTAGAAATCATAATTTATGGAGAAATAGTTGATTGACCCCTCAAAACGCCCCCTATTTTAAAGGGAGTACTTAAGTTAACTTCCGCAAGTTTTGTGTTATTCAGAATTGGGGCTTAAAAATATTCATGAATATGCACAATCATGCTGTTGAGAGACTGCAGTAACCCTATGTTCATAGCTTTATCACTTTTATGAGAAAAAATAATTTCCATATAATTTGGTTTCGTATTATTTTCAGATAAACCATCAACTATACTTAAATTATTTACATTCCACACCTTATACCCATGTATAGTATAATTAGTTTTTATGTCCCCACCACATAGTGTTGGGCCATATTGTCAGCCTAGGCGCGTCTGTCTGTCTGTCTGTCCGTCCGTCCGTTGGTCCGTCCGTCCGTCAGTCCGTCCAGGAGTTTTCTCCAAAACCCCTACAGATATCACCTTCAAATATTCAGGGATAACTTATGAGTGCATACAGATGTGGATAAAAAAATTTAACTCGATACCTACTTCCTGTCAGCCATTTTGAAGTCATATGCTAAAATCCTTGTCTGCAAACTTTAAGAAAAACGGTCACAGTTGCTTTTAAAATTTTAACATCTTGTTCAGCTTACTTCATTCTACATCTGATTAGGTTTTGGACCTGTTAGCTCAGTCATGTCGGCCTTTTTGAATGTCTTAAGAAAAGTTAGCGCGTGATAATACTTTGTATCATATTGAATGGTGTTTTTGAGTTTTCATACTTTAACTATTTAGTAGCTTTATGAATAATTCAATTGTACTTTGTTGTAAAAGCCTATTTTATTGTTAACAGTAGTTATATGTGATAATTTTGTAAAAAGAAATCAGCAAAAACTCATAATCACTTTTTTTTTGTCGGCCATTTTGGATTTTCGGTCCTAAAAGCTTGTCTTTGAGGTCTTGTCTACCGTTTGATGGATCAATTTCAAATTTTCATGGATGATTCTTAGTATAAGAATCTAGATCTGATTAGATTTTTGGCATTCTGGATAAATGTCAAGGCAGCCATTTTGGATTTTCCGTCCTAAAATCTTGTCTGTAAAGTCTTGTCTAGGCATTTTCAGGTGAACCGTTTAATAGATCAATTTCAAATTTTCAGGGATGATTCTTAGTATGAAAATCTAGAACTGATTAGTTATTTGGCATTCTGGGTAAATGTCAAGGCAACCAATTTTTTGATTTTCCGTCCTAAAATCTTGTCTGTAAAGTCTTGTCTACGCATTTCCAGGTGAACCATTCTGTAGATCAATTTCAAATTTTCAGGGATGATTCTTAGTATGAAATCTAGATCTGATTAGTTGGTAGGGACATTTTATACACATTTGGATACTTGTCTTTCATTAGAGACCATTATAGATGACTGTACTGTAGTTCATAATAATAAATAAAAAAATAAAATTTAATTATTTGAAATAATTGATTTACCTCTTAAAATACCCCCTATTTTAAAGGGGGTACTTATACTAGCTTCTGTAGCTTATGTTTCATTGAAAACTTTGGCAGTTGAAAATATCAAAATATCACCAAAATACCACGGAACGTAAAATTTTCTCAAAAACCTCCTTTTGAGCCTCCGTTATCTCCAAGCGATCATTATATTCCATGTTTTCACCAAGATCCATAATCAAATTATTGCGTTTAATACTTTAGCATATGCATTTCAATAGGATGAGATAGTGATTTACCAATGTACAGGCTTACATAATTAAAGATTCAATATCTCCTTGCAGGTTTCTTACTAACATGACTATAGTAATTAAATAAAACAATTACTACTTAACATGTATTGTTTTTTTGTATTCTGCTGCCACAATTACTGAATTGTGCTGGCATTTTTTAGTTTATTACAGCTTTCATTATATTTATTGCTTTTTAAGAAAATCAAAATGGTTATAAATATGTCACTCATCTGATATTGTATGATGGGTAACTGGTCAACTCGTACCCAAGACAACTCGTACCCAAGTCAAGTCGTCAGTGGAGACGATAACCCCATTTAACGTGAAGTACGGCAATTGCCATGTTGCACGACAATTGACGTGAAATTATGAAGCAATTAAGTGCGCATGTCAATAGATAATAACGGCAATTGCCATCATACCTGTCAAGTGACGTGCAATATTTTGCACGGCAATTGACGTGCAAACTATTATATTTTAAAAGTTTCACATATTATCGGCAGGATGACAGGCAGTTATAAACTGGGAAACTAGTGGGTAAATCATGATCTGCATCGTATGTAATAGTTATAATCATAAACATTTGTTATTGTCCGGGTTGCATTTTGAACTGACAACTATTATGATGTGCTTACGTCAATGTTTACATGAAATATTTATTCAACAGCAAACCGGAAGTAAACAAACGATGGAAAGAAAACTAATAAATTCTGATCTAATGAGGATAGGAATTTAAATTGTTTATAATTCATTTAAGGTAATCATTAGATCATTGCAAAGGTTTAAAAACTAAATCCAGCTGTTTTTTGGTAAGAAAAAAACGAAAAAATCAGCAACACATCGAGGTCAGGAAAACACTTCCGCTCAAAAAGAAGAGGGAAAGTAGACCCCATTTTAGCGATTTTCAGTGGTCTTTTCTCGGAATTGGGGCTCACGTTATGTTTAGAGATTAAAATACCATTGGGTCAGTACCAATTTTGTCGTAAAACCCGTCGGAAAGACGATATCTAGACAATATTGAAGGACTATTAGTAATTCCAATATGGCGTTTTTCTTGGATTCGTGAGAGGTAACTTTGATTAGTTTTAGCGCGAAATTCCCACATAGGATCGTGAATTCCTGCATACAAGTGCTAGATTAGATTAAAAACTTGAAGAAAATGCAATAAAAAGCGTTCCATCGATCGATTTAGACTTTCCAAGAATGCAAGTTCGGTGGTGACTTCATTGGTTCGTAACATTGACAGAAAATTCACAAGATTGAACGGCATTTTCTCCACAGTTTTGGAATGAAATACTTCCCTGGGATTTAATATATCATTAATGTTTACCTAAGTATATGTACTATAAAAGAAATATTACTTAGATTTTATATATAGTAAACACTGGGTCTTCTAATTAACCTGGTGTTTCAAATTATGAATTACAATGGACATTCTGCTTATTGGCGTGATTCACGTCAACTGACGTGCAAAATGGCAATCTCCGTGTTACACGTTAAATGGGGTTAACGTCTCCACTGGTCGTACCCAAGACAAAGTTTATGTTTAGTTTTGAATCAAGTGTTGGACTAGGGATTGGGTATAGATATACATATTATTATTGTTATATAGAGTTCAGAATAGTTTGAAGTATGTAGACGAGTTTTTGGAAGAAATCTATTACATTTGTGACATTTGGAGCTTTGAAAATTTTAAACTGTCAATCTATTTTGACTATTATGTTATATTGGTCACAGATTCAGGATGTTTGAGGGAATTAGAGACCTTTGTTTATTCCACATATTCATAATCATTGCTCAAAATATTAGTGGTATCTTTGTATGTTTATGAGTGTTTGCAACAAGTGTCAGATCTAATTCATGA